GTTGATCAAACCAGCGTTCGCCAAAATGGATTGAAGTCAACGGTACCAAGCGGGCGATGGTCGGAGGCGTGGGTTCGGGATACAAAACAAATCAAAGAAAAAGAGAAAAAGTGTGACATGCATGTAGTTTAGGAACAGTCCCAAACCGTATTCATTGTTGATTGTGCGGTTAGTCACGAAAACGTATAGGTAGGCGTGCTCGGCGACCGGAACATGATACGATAGTCTTTTTCGTACTTCGTGAGCCTGAAATCTCATCCGAAGTCAAGGGCGGCGTGGTCTGCTGGTCTGGACGTGAGACTGAAGTCTCGTGCGTCATTGGTGCAGATGACACGTGCTGTTGACCGGGACGTGAGAATGAGGTCTCTGATGTATCTAGCGTGGGACATGAAGTAGATGTAAGGATCCTGCTAGTAGGTTTGATGGGTCTAGCATTGCGTCTCGAGTTATCGGGTAAAGCACTGTCATCGACGTGTGCTGGTTTGAGACGATCAATGCTGACGATCTCGACACGGCCATGTCGATCAGCCTTGAAAGTCTTTTCGTGAATAGAAATCACGTGAAAAGGTCCTTCGTAAGGCTGTTGCAGAGGTTTGCGTACCGAATCTACGCGTATGAAAACATTTGAACAGGTAGATAACTCTCGACGGAGGGCGACTTGTCGATGTTGTATTCGAGTTGACACCGGAGACAGTGTTCGCATAAATTGAGACAGTCGATGGACGTAGCCTGACTCACCGAAATCGTTACTGCTCCGTGGTGTGAAAAATTCCCCAGGCAGACGCAATGTCGTGCCGTAAACAAGTTCAGCGGCGGAACATCAAATATCTGCCTTTAAACTCGTTCTGATGCCTAAGAGGATGAGCGGCAAGGTTTCGTAACAATTGCTGTTTTCTTGTGCTCGAAAAGCACTTTTAAGTTGGCGATGAAACCGTTCAACTAAACCATTTGATGCTGTGTGGTAGGTGGTAGTGCGTATGCGTCTGTACCAAGCAGCCGGGTCGGTGAGGAGAATAATGCGGACTCGAATTGTTGTCCTCGGTCGGTCGTGACAGTCGAGGGACAACCGCAGAGCGCTATCCAACTGTTTCTGCCGTAATAGACGTGATGGGAATAGCTTCGGGCCAACTCGTAAAACGATCGATGCATGTGAGTACATGATCATATCCGTGCGATGGTGGCGATGGTCCCACAATGTCTATATGAACGTAATCAGGCGTACCGAACGTGCCAATGGGGGCAGCTACGTGCCTATGCAGTTTTGATCGTTGACGTTGTAAGTATTGCTTTGCCCACATACGGACATTTTTATTCATGGACGGCCATACGTATCGTGCAGCGATGAGGCGTAATGTAGCTGCGATACCTGGATGAAACAGTCCATACAGGGCATCAAAGACGAGACGACGGTAGGCAGAGGGTACGATGGGTCGGGGAAGACCGGTAGAAGTATCACGTAGGATAGTACCTGAGGTAGTAGCTAGGGGTACTCCTTGGCACTGAAGGGATGTAGTTTTTGGTGCTTCTGTACGGAAGGGACCGTCTGCTTGAGCGGCAGCCATAGCAGGAAGATCGAGCACCGGTGAAGTAGCTGCATTCACTTGAATACGTGACAGAGCATCGGCAACATAGTTCGACTTGCCTTTAATGTGACGAAGGTCCGTCATGAACTGAGAGATATGGTCCAAACATCTGCATTCTCGAGGTGAGTAACGGTCGGACTTGGTATGCAGAGCATTCGTTAAAGGCTTATGGTCGGTGAATAAGATAAAATCGTGACCTACCGAGTGCCGGAAATGTTTGATGTAACAGTAGGCTGCTAATTGTTCTCGATCAAAAACCCCACATCACGTCTCTATGCGAGTGAGGCGTCGTAAGAAAAATTCAAGAGGTTGTCAACTTCTGGAGATGTTCTGCCGCACAACGGCTCCTATAGTAAATTCCGATGAATCAACCGCTATACTAAGCGTGGCTGATGGATCAGGATGAGCAAAGGGTGTGACTTGAGCCAGAGCCGTTTTGATCTCTGAAAATGCAGTATGTGCGGCATCGTTGAATTATAATTTGCGTGGATTACCGCGAAATAAGTTGGTTAATGGACGTAACCGTTCTGCTACATGTAGGATGAAACGTCAGTAGAAGTTAACCAAACTACGAAATGGCTTCAGTTCTTTGAGTATGAACGGTGTACTCCACTACTGCACGTACTTTGTCCTCGTAAGGTAAAATACCCTCTTGCTTAGTAACGTGACCTAAGAATTTTATTTCCTGTTTGCCAAGTTCACACTTGTCCGGGTTGACTATCAGAAAGGCGCTGGAATAGGAGTATTAAGTGTTGATAAAGTTCATCTGCGATTAGCGGGTCATTAATGTAGACGTGAAAAATATAAGTCTCGTACTATGCCATCAATAAAGCTTTGGAAAGTTTGAGCAGCATTCCGTAATCGAAATGGCACTCGTAGGAACTCAAACCGACCAAAAGGAGTCGTGATAACGGTTTTCTCGATTTCTTCAAGAGCGACTGGGATCTGATGATATGCTCGTACAAGATCGATTCTACGGGAAAATAGTCGTGGCCTTGAGTGATACCGTGAAGTCGTGTATGTGTGGGATGGGATAGCTATCAACGCATGTAGCTACGTTTAATGCTCGATAGTCGCCGCATGGTCTCCAACCAACCCCATCCTTTTTGCGCACCATGTAAAGATGTGAGGCCCAGGGACTGTAAGAAGGACGAATAATACCAGTAGCTAGTAAATTGTCAAACTCACTTTTACTGAAAGCTAATTTTCCCGGTGGCAGTTGGCGAGGTTTTGCCGTGACTGGGATTCCGCGGGTGACTATGTGCTGTACCACATGATTGATAACCGACGGGCTCTCCTCGAGTGGTTTAGATAAGTTGAGGAATTTCTCGAATAAAGCGTCGAATATATCGTCACGCGAATGAAAGGCGCCTTAGATTCGGTGCGCATTTGTTTGAGCTTTGAGGCCCATGAATTTACTGTTCGAAAAAATTTCAATTAGCTACATCCTACGTGAATCGATTGGCAATTTATAGTGCTGTACGAAATCAATACCTAGTGTGGTTGTGGGAACATCGGCAATGATGAACGTCTACAGATACTGTCGTCGGTTGCCCAGGTTGTTCATGAGCTGTCGTTTACCATTGCTAGGAATGACAGAGCCATTCGCGGCGCATAGTCGAACCATCGTAGCTTGTGACTTACTGTTACCAATAGGTACGACATAAACTTGGGCACCTGTATCTACTAGGTACCTGGCGTTAGTGCTTTAGTCATGCACATAAAATGAACGGCCAACCTGGGGCAAAGGGCTGGCGAGCGCGGCCCCATTTCCTCGCCGGCTCGGGAATTTCCCGCCTTGTACGAGCAGGGAGCTTGACAACGGCAGGTACCGGACTCGGAAGCACAATGGAACCAGGACCAAACCGCATTCGCTTCCGAAGCCGCATCTTGGGGTGGCTTGGAAGGTTCCCGCTTAGGGCGAGTAGTTACGGCTTTACAGGAGCATGACCTGGCTCGGGGGACATAGGGTTCTGGTATATTGGAACAGTCTGGAAAATTGAGATGGGTATGGTACAGCTATCCCCATCATCCTGAGCCGTAAGGTGACTAGCGTCGAGATCTACAGTCGAGGGTGATGTTGAGGCAACTATATATTTGTCCCGTGTGCAAGTCCTTGCCAATATCTTATCTGTTATGAGAGACCCCTGGTTTAGCGGGGTGTCCTCGAGCAAAACCGTAACGGCTGGTTGTATATTTGCTGGTAGCGATTCGAGCCATAATTCCCCGGCTATTTCGGAATCGTCTGTCGTGGGTCCCGCTAAAGACTGCAGTCGCGTGAGGTGGTGACTCGATTTAGCATCACTCGGGGAGTGACGTGCTAATAGTGTCCACCAATCGTTCGTCTATCGACGGGGGGAAATGTTTAAGAATCGCCACCTTGGGACGATCGTTAATGTTAGGTACATTCGGGTTGAGGACAACATCACAAACAGTAGCTATGTGATCCCCATGTAGCGTTTCCTGAGTGTAAGCACACTTCTGCCATTGATTCGTTATGCGGCGGATCTCGAAGTGGGATTCCAGTGCCGCGAATCAAACTTATGGATCATGGGGAGTAAAGGAGATAGGTCGGAAATTGGTGACCTGTACATCTGAGTCTATTATATTAATGCCACTCTTATCGTTATTCACCATATCAAGTTGTTGCCCGGATATTATATATTGAAAAATATCAATGCGAAAATGCGCAACAAAAGTAGATAATGGACTCACCGTCTTCTTGGGAAAGTTCTCCAGAGGTTGAAACGTGTTCACAGTTTCGGGTCACCAGATGTAGTGTGGAGTCATTCTTTTCATATTTATGGACTCATTGGTGGCTGTCTCGATTCGAGCCTCTACCGGTAAATTAATCCCCAGAATCAATAGATCTTTAAGTCTTTGTTGTTGATACTGTCTTCATTAGTTTTGATGAACTCAACTAGCTGAAGACGCACGGTTACGCATCCGCACCAGATTACGAGTGGGCACGCCGTTCTTCACATCGCCCACAACCGCTAGCCAGTTAAGGTTGATCACTTCTAGAAATATCGATAACCCATCAAATATATCTTCGAACCTATCCATATCTGACTTCTGATTTCACTGAGTTGGTGCGTTTCGATTTTAAAGATGTTGCTGGTTAAGGCGTTATGAAACTCGTATACCTACAGTTTAATCATTTGACAGCTTCTAGTTCCAGAGACCTTACCGCTTTTCAACAGATGTGCTCACCCAGATTTAACTACACTCAAACTTACAATTAATGGACAGATTGGCTAGAAATAATGTAGTCGTGTGGCCACTAAATATGTATTCTTTTATCTTTGGTATCTAGACAAATTATCCTTCTTCCCAGTTTGTCGGTACTTCTTTTTCGTTCTAAATATTCTTCAGAGTAACGTGCGATATCCTTTGAGTTACCTCTAAATCTGACTTCAGCGCTCAAGTAGGCTCTCTCGTTCTGAACATGCTGGAATTGTAATCTGTAATTGAAGATTGAAGTTATAGAAGTAACTTTTAAGACGTGCGGTACTGTTAGGCATGCAGAGTGTTTTGATCTTACTAAAGTGATATCTAAAGTGTTAGTATTTGACTTTACGCCTAGTTAAGTTCTCAGTATATAGACCAAACAATGTAAGTAATTTTTTTTAAACTTTAATGGATTTCTGAAGCGTGAATCAAAACCTCGTACGATTATTGAATTCATCTAGGAAAATTTCGTCCTTAGCCAATTTGCAAATGTCGGATTCAGACTCATCATGCGTACGTTCTCATTGCCAATAGTTGTTGATAGCTAATAGGATGTACAAGAAATCTTGGCCTGCCCTGGGTTGTATGAAGAAATTACACATGAGAAGAAACATGTGTATAATAAGGTAAGTCTCGTGCTATAAAATTTTTTTGTAGTTTCGAAATTTTAATAATAATGACCTGTGCACTATGGTATACGGCACTAACGTCTGTAAATACTCTGTGAATATGTTTAACGTAGTCGTCAACTTAGATAAATCCGAAAACTGTTTGGGAGACTTAACGAACTATTGATTCCATAGGGTCTGCGTAGTCGGTTGACTGTAAGTGGTTCTTTCCAAGTACGGGAAATATAATGCCCGAATTCTCGGCCCTATAACTGCTCACCAACTGAGAAGCCAGTAACTTATTTTCCAACCATTAGTTTCAGTTTCAGTTTGGAAAGGACAGGAGGCTTGATGGCCTGTGTTAGTCCTGGCAGTGGTGGTCTCTCAGTTGATCCAACTTTCTTTTGAATGAGTTGACGGATGGAGCTTCAACCACGTGCTGAGATAATGAATTCCACTCGTTGATGATTCAATGCGAAAGTCGATAGTCGGCTGACAAGTAATTTGTTCTGGACTTGTGAACTTTTTTGGAGTGTCCTCGTAAATTCTCTGTTTTGGAAGTCAAAAAAATGAGGGCATATTAGCTGCAACTTTGGCACTAAGCAGTTTGAAAACTGTAATCAAGTCGCCTCTAGTTCTGCGATATGACAACGGGAAAAGGTTCAGCTTGGCCAGTCGAGCTTCATACGGAAGCTTCGCTATTCCGGGAATAAGCTTAGTTGCCGTCCTCTGAACCTTTTCCAGAAGCTCACTGCCTTTTTTAAGCAGAGGCTAGCCGCTTGTATGCAGTACTCAAGTTTAGGACGTACGAACACCGTATGCAAAGTCAAAAACGTCTTAGCGTCAACATGACTAAAAGCCCTACGTATTGACCTTAAGGTTCTAAAACCTTTGGCGGCTATTGCACGGCAGTGTGCAGTAGTCTTTAGGTCTTGGCTAACGATGACTCTTAAGTAATTATATGTCTGGACGACAGGTAGCTCAGTGTTATTCATCGTGTATGTATCTGTACCTTGATGACCGATATGCATCACGACACACTTGGAAATATTTATCGGCAACTGCCAGGCTTGAGACCATTCAGATAATTCCTTCAGGTCATTTTGGAGTTCTAAGCTATCACCCTTACATCGTATCGTTCTCCATATCTTGACATCGTCAGCATATAGCAAGACCGATGATGATAGGAGACGAGGAAGGTCATTTACATACAAGAGGAATAGCACGGGCCCCAAAACTGCACCCTGGGGCACTCTAAGATTTTTACAACCACACTAGTTAGGCTAACGGGGCGGTAATTCTCAGGTTTGTGTCTCGTACCTGTTTTGAAGACAGGACTTACTATGGCGTTTTTCCAGTCTTTTGATAAACGACCATGCGTTACGGATAGGTTAAAGCATATACTTAAAGGGTTCTCAACGAAGTTAGATAGTTCCTTCAGTAGCCTAGGATGTAATTCATCGGGCCTCGTGGATTTACCTATGTCAAGCTTATTTAGCAGACCAAAGACATTGAATTCTTTAATGGTCACGCTATCCAGTGTATGTGTGGTGGGATCTGTATACGGGAAGGGTGCTTCTATGGTATATACATTGCTAAAGTAGTTTGAGAAAACTTGAGCCTTACCAAAGTCGTCCTCCACTAATGTTGCGGAAGTACTGTCTCCCCATAGAGCAGGAATATTTCCTCTTCTCTTTGTCATTTGGCTTATATAGGAATACAAGCGTTTAGGACATTCTATGGATTCCTTAACAATTTTTTCTTCGTACAACTCTCTAGACTTACGAAGGATCGAGGCATAGGTATTTCGAGCTTTGCGACACTGAGACTTTGTCTCATCGGTCCCCAGTAACCTAAATCTATCCCACATTTTTCTTCTCTTACGGAGAAGGATACAGACCTTCCCACTGAACCATGGTGGGGAGTTTCTTGGCCCCCTTGGTATAGTCCAAGGGATGTGGGGTGTGGTAACTTTTAAGTATGAATTTCGAAATGCGTCTCAGACTGTTTCGATTGAGGACTCTGGGTCTATTGTCTAATCTACTAACGATGCTGAGTGCATGATACCTGGTATGTTTGCTTTCCAGACGTTAGGTCTGGATTGGGCTGACGCGTGCTCATGTCTGACAGTTATATGGAAGTCGAAAGTTAAAACCGCGTGGTCACTTTTACCTAGGGGTGGCATATAATGGAGGTTCGCAACGTCATCCTCATAGTGAGTCAGTATAAGATCTAGTAAGGATGATTCAGTGTCCGGGTCGTACCTTGTCGCTTCTTTCACATGTTGCACTAAGGCACATGTGATAACCACATCAACTAGTTCCTGCGCGAAGGAATTTTCTGACGATTCAGTTTGCAGATTTTCCCAGCCTACCATTGGTGCATTAAAGTCCCCTAGGATTAGACATCGACCACTTTGTGACCAAGTATTGAGACTGCTTAACAGCACCTCATTTAAGCCACAGCTTGGACTGCGATAGACCAAACCAATCAGCAGCTCTTGACCCTTGCATTTCAAACAGCAACTAACTAATTCACACGTCCCACTCTCATGGGATACACTATCGATAATGGCAAATGGGATAGCATTCCTAATGAATAGAGCTACTCCCCTTCCTTTACGCTTTTGTATTCTGTCGGCCCTTACTAACGTAAAACCTTCGAAATCAAGTTCCATACTATCTGTAGCCTGTGTCAGCCAGGTTTCTGTAACTGCGATTATGTCTGTCTTTGTAGAGTCAATCTGTACACCTAGTTCCGATCGCTTATTAAGTAAGCTTCGGGCATTAGTGTAACAGGTTCGAAGCCTATTTAAGTGGCTTCGTGCTTCACTCAGAGTGGCTTGGGCATCATTTTCTGTCGAAACCTTACAAACCAAAAATTTACAATTTTTAGGTCCTTTTTGTCTAACCTAAGTTGTAGTTCTTTTTCGGCTTCCCGTCTTTTAACACGGTCTGCCAATTGCAAGTCCTTGCGGATAAAAACTCCTGAACCCTTTAATTTACGTCCATTCTGTAAAATTAGATCACGTTCGTTGGAAGACTTGAATAGTACTTTAAGCAGTCTGGATTGATTTGGTTTCAAGTTTGCTAGACTACCTAATCTGTACACCTTTAGCAAGGTGACCCCGGTGATATTTTGAGGCATGAGTTGATTAAGCAGCTGTTTAATCAGCATAATGTCATGCTCAAAACGAGCTTTTGGTTTAGAGCTCTCACTCTCCTTGATTCTATGAAAAATAACTGATCTGTCTCTGTGATCAGCTTTCGATTTTTCAACCACTTTTAAGGGGGCAGGATTCCCTTTTATATCGCTACGTTGTTTCTTCCTTACAACTTGTACCCATTCGTCAACGGTGCTAGGAGAGGTAACAACAGTTGTGTCAAACCTACTGTCGGATTCCGGAGGGTTTTCGACGAACTGGGAGGCCAGGTTATGTTTGCCGCTAGAAACCTATCGAGCCTTGCGATTGCGGCTTCTAAGCGTTTCCTGCCGGATGCCATTTAGAAGACGGGGAACAGAAGAGCCTTCTTTTCTTCAGTTTTTGTTTAAGACAGACCTCTTTGGAGACTGTTTTTTCTTGTTTGATCGGTGTGAGTCACCTATTTTCGAACTCGCCTGAGTTTGCTTCATATCAATTTGCGCGTCCACCGAGCGAGTGCTGTTTGATGTGTCCCGACTACGCTTGCTGAAATACTTCTTCGCAGCATCTACCAGTGAGATGGCCTTGGTTAACAAGCTGTTTGCATCCGAACAGCACTGTTGACAAAGCCAAACGCAACCCTTTTTACTGAACCTTTTGAAAGCTGCAGGCGTTAAATTCGTGCAAACCTCGTGGTACCAACCTTTGCATTCATCGCACTGCATGCCGCTTTCGACAGGATAACGACAACCTGGCGTTGGCAACTGCTTTTTTTGCACTGTCCGGTCATTAAAAAGGGGTCCTTTTCAAAAAGAGAGGGAGATGCAATAATCCTCAGAGACAAAAATGATCTATGACCAAAAAAGTGGAGAACTGTAGATTGTTAGGACCAAACTACTAACAGATACAGTAGAAAATAAGGTACTCAAGAGTACCGACAATAAACTAATTGCGAAACAGTAAACGATATTCTAGTCGAATACTTTAACTAAAATAAATTCAATTAGACTGAGAACAATAGTCTTGATACGTAATAAACGATCATACCAATAAAATTTACTCAGCGAGAAAAGATACCACTGTCCTATTTAATTAGCGCGCAATGAAACAATAATTCGTCATCATACTACTGTAAATACACCCAACAAGAATGTTTCTTTAACGTCATGAGTAATCAGGCAGCAAAGGTAGCTCTTCCGACATAGCGATCGGTTTGTGTAAGGACCCAATTTAGTAAAATACCTGTTTTATTCTATTCGTGGCAAATATTTTAGTGGATATCTTTTTTTGAGGACAAACGGAGCTGTTTTAAAAACAGACGCAGTTTACCTATTTCGAAAATCCGGACAGTCGGGGAGACCATTGTGAAGTATTTAGACTCATAATTATATGAACTTGAAACAAATGTATCGCTAGACCTTTAAACGGTAATTGGGAGACTTGTAGCACTAAATTAATTCTCGAGTGATTCAAACCCTTGGTCAGAGATTTTCGTATTACTCTTTTTTTGTCATAACAGTGTAAGTTCACTAACTATTTATCATCCTCCGGTTTTTAAACTTTGTCGAAGATTATTGTAGCAATCTTCTGAAAATTGATTGGGAAACTCAATGGTATTGATTATTTTATGACGACTCAAATTCTACTAGATACCCTCTGTCTTATCATGAGTAATATGGATGCATGTATGGAAAAGCAACTGAAGTATACCGACTGGTTACGTGTAAGACCCTTACTAACCAAATCGGAATATGTTTTGGACTTATTCATGTTATGAACCACTCTCTAACACAATAATAAACTGGAAGAACACTAATGCAATAGGACTAGGACTGTTGGTTAGAGCACATATTTGTCTTGGGGTCAAACCAGTAGCCAATACAAGTGACTAAAACCTAGGTGATTCAACGTAAAACCTCTAGGGTTGCTACAAAATACCTAATTTTTGTTTTTCAAGCATTTAAGATTATATTGCTATGCTCCACCTATTCTTCGGTTTACTTGTTTACTAATGATTTTTTGATTCGCAGTTATTTGTCTCTTGATATCTTGATATAGTACTAATGAATCCTCCAACTAGTGTTTTCGGGTCGTTTTCCGAACCTCTTCAATTTTGAAAGTTAATATTCAGTTGATATTGCTGGCCTTACTTTTCTTTGGTTATCTATTGGCATGAACTAAGGAAAAAAACTTCGGAGTTTATTTATTTCTTTGAACACATAAGTATTGGTACAAAGGAGCACCGAATACATATGCGCCATACAAGTCACTTAGTTTTTGTGTGGGCTGTGATACTGCCCGGGTGCCCAGGTTGAAGCAGGTGGTTTTCTTAGAGGGCCACACCTAAGGCCTTCGACCTAAAGATCTGATCCACAAGTCAATAGACCAACGTGAGGAAATGCGGTCCCATTGTAATCATTTACCAATAATTGGTCCATATACCTTTTGTTTCCTCAGGATGCTGGAGCCCATGTGCATCAGTGGTTTGGAATAAGGTTTTTCTAACTCCCCCAGGTGTTTTTTTTTGTAAATTCCACGCTTCACATCTTGTTTACTCTTCCCTATATCAAAGAATTTCAAATTGTCAATCTGTTCCATGCAATTCATTCCAAGAAAACTGGTTAATGTATCTGACTTCCAGACAGATTGTGACCGAACACAAGATCTTTTTTCTTATTTAGATTATTGGGTGATTATTTCAAGATTTTACTTCTCATTATGACGAACAATAATGGTTATTTAGTTTGTTAGTATAATTTTATTGTTCTTGCAAACCTCCTTTGTACTTGAACAGTCAGCTCTAATGAATACTCTCAATAGTATTCGAAAAAATCTCCCATGGATCGAGCGATTAGATGTCACATGTATGGCAGCTCCTGCTCAAAAAGATTTAGATTTGGATGACTTACAACATATCGATCCAGATGATGATTTTAAACGTGAAAACTTTTTGTAAGTTCTATGTAGTTTACGAACAGCCATTTTCATTTTGAACTTAAACTTACATCTTTAAGATTCACCGTTTTAGGTTTAATTTACTTATTTATATCAATAATTTGGCTAGTTTCATACGAACAATGAAGCAACAATATCACATCAAGGCTTGAGGATAACTCTTAGGATTACTGTTAACATAACTGCAATGTTACTCATTGTCCATTGATGTAATTAAATACACTAGCACCGAAGAACAGAATCGACACAGATTCTCCAAAGAACATTGTCGAAATTCCATTTGTTGTGTTGTATTTAAACACATGCATATGTGACTTGTAATTCTTGATTGTATGTAATCCACTAAAGTGCTTATTTTTAAGATGACGCTCATAAATCTTCGGAAATACCATATAAGATCAACCACAAGCCAATATCTCTTGGGTTTACATTCATGTTCTCAGATAAGTAAAATCAGCCTTATCAATTAATTCTCTCGAAAGACATTATTTTTCATGTTTGCTGTTGAAGGACGTTAGTTGTATACATATATTCAGTATCACTCCATTCCATCCTAATAGTTTCCAGTCTTTTCTCTTGTATTTTCAATTTTCTTTTATACGGTTAACATATTGAACACTACACTATTGATGGTCTGTACTTTAATACAATTATTAACCTATAACTCCAGTAAATAAATACACCTAGATAGCGTTACACTCGATGGGTACTTCTAATACTTTCTCTTAGTTCTCCCTTTGTAATTAAAATGAGATTGTAACTTTTCAAATGTTTCGTGGCCTTCATATATCCCCTTATCTCTTTTATTTAGTTACCGTGTAGCTCAGGCAGCGGTGCTTATAGCTATACCTCAATTACACGCTTTAGATGTACCGACTAAACGACCATCTGATTACTTTGCAGAAATGGTCAAAACAGATGATCACATGACAAAGGTTAGTTTAATTGTTGCCATTTCGCAAATAACACAAAGTAGATGACATACAGTTGTACTGTTAGATTTCGTCTGTGGACAGAATACGTTACACCAAATTTAAATGAATCTTATAAATCTTGATAGTTTTGATCACAAAACACATCCTTAGTTCAAGTCAAGTTATGTTGTTGGGAGGAACTGGTCATATCACTAATTAGTTGGATATTTTGTCAATAATAGATATCAAATTTTTATTATAACGGATTAGCTTGTCCTAACACGTGTGTTTCGCTATGAAACAAAGTGCTTAAGTAGACTGTCGACATCACCGGTCAGATATTCACTCTGTTGTTTCAGTTTCAAACGTAATTTCTTCTAAATCACATATTGATTGGCAAAAAGTCAATTTTCCTAGGTTTGTATGTGAATGTGTGCATTCGTCGTCTAGTGTTCTGTAGTTGATCCAAATTTAAACATTCACTTATGAAACCTCCACTGAAATCAGAACAGTTTAGTTCGTAAATTTGTGATCTTTTTTTACATTGCTGTCCTATCCCTTCTATAATCATTGAGTCACCAATTTTTATTCAAGTATTAACCGACAGAAAAACAGTGGTGTCTAACATTGGGTTATTCATATCAAATTATGTTCCAATGTATGACTGACTGGTTAGTATGCATATTGTTGGTGTTTTTTAATAGAAAATTATAAAGTAGGTTGATTTTATAAATATTGATCTGTGGATGTTGTACTGGGTGATGCTTTTTAAGAATAAAGTGTTTGTGGTTTATTAGTAAATGAATGGGTGGTTTATGTGAGTGGATGAAACAACGGCAAGGTTTGGGATAGGGTACTAGGTAAATTCGACAAATCAATCAATGAGGTAGTGAATTTTCACCAACTAAGGTGGTTAATACATGTGTTGATATGCTTATCTACCACAACTCGACCGGCGATGTTGTCTGATGTAGTGGTAGACTGCAAGAAATCTAGGGCTGGCCAACTTAGGCGTGGCATCAATCCATAAAGTCAATGGCAATTTGATTGAGATATGTCAATAGGTGTTGACTTCCTGGTTGGGGAGACGTTGGCTGACATGGTTCAGAATCGTTTACCCTGGCTCGAGTGCATTCAATTGATGCTGATACTTTGTTTGTTTTGTTGCGTTCTAACTGCTGGTATCTTATTACTAACTACTTGAACCCGTTAATCGAAATATACAAATCACAATAAAGACATGGTAGATAAAAATTTATTTGATGCGCAAGATAAACCAAATAACTCCCGAATACAGTTATATTTATATGACTTACACCGATTTATGGTCAGATTTATATACACTAAATTGAATAGTACTTGACACTAATTAATGAAGGATTCACTGAGTAAGCATAGATGTACAATATTACAAAACAACCGTCTGTGATCAACAGGCATAACCAATATGATAACTCTTTAAAATATGTCTAGATATCATAGATGATTGAAAAAGAAATCAATACCATAGGCCATTGACACTTCAATCGAGTAAATCTTCGTTCATCATATCAGTTTGTTTAGGCTATAGCGATTGATAGATGTCTCCTGTTTAAAACGACCCCTGATTGTATTTCAATTGCTGGTTTTACGAAACTGAGATAGACTATAATTGTAATGGACTGTAAACATCTGAGTGCATTACTACACATTGTCTTCTTCACTATGCAGCGTTTGCGATTGTGCTATACCAATAACTACTAATCTTATCTCCTGTTGTTGTAATTGGAGGTTTATAAATTTTGATGAATAATGTTACAATTGAAGTTAGGGATAACATTTACCACACTAACGCTTGATGTTGATCTCATGAAGCATCTACTCCTTCATGATTTAATTCAGTGGTGTTTATTCATAGTGATATAAACTAAATGAAACGTTAGGTAATATCGTATTGCAGTTTGTTTGAGGTCGTCAAGCTTAGTTAATATGATTGAATTTCTTTTACTTTAGAGTTACAAATCTTTTCCATAAAACATTAATGCGTAGTCTGTTTAACAAATATGTGAAATTCTTCATTTTAGATATATTCCTAGAAGTGTTTGGAAGCCAGACTTTGACTGCTTCGTTAACTTTTTCACATTTTGTTTTTCAATCCTAAATATTTCGCTAAGACAGAATGCACAATGGATTTCTCTAATTCTTGTCATTTGTCAGTCGTACAAACAGTAAATTGTTAATTGGACGGCATAAAAAACTGCTCACGTTTGATGTCTCCATAAATTCAAGAGATTGATAGTCATCCTGGTTTCTCATCTTACAATCCGCGCTAAAATACTTTAAACACTTACAAGAGTTATTTCCTCTATTTTTTCATCTCTATAAACAACCTTCCAGCATATCTTTAATTCCCTGGTAGTTTTCCGCAAATATCACGTAAAATTGAACTATCTCAGTTTGCTTGTTTATTGAACAAGCCATGTTATTCTAAATTCCATCTTGTTTAAACTTTGATTGATCATTGTTGAACGCGTCGACAACTTCACTTATCTTGGAAGTCTGATCAGCCCAAATGGGTTGGTATCTGATGAAATTTCTGTACGGATTCAGAAAACTCGTTTGATTTTTGCCAACTTACGTCACCTATGGTGAAGGCGAGATATCCGTCTGTCAATCAAGGGACGAGTATACTGCGCGGCAGTCCGTTGTTTTAATTTACGGCAGCGAAACATGGCCATTAAGAATAGAAGATACTCATAAGCTACTAGTATTTGATCCTAGATGCCCTAGAAATATTGCTTGTATCTGCTGGGATCACCGAATTAGTGATAGTGAGGTTAGACGCAGAGTATTAGGGAATGATGGTAAATCAGTTGATGAGGTTGTGAATCTTCATCGACTGAGATGGTTGGGCCACGTGTTACGTATGCCTGAACACCGATTACCACAATGCTCAATGCTAACCGGTGTTGGGGATGGTTGGAATAAAGTTAGGGGCGGCCAAACCAAAACGTAGCATCAGTGCTTGAAGACACTAACTTCTAGTCTGAGCCATGTTGTTGAGTGCAGACTACTTGGTTGGAGTCCGCGTGATCATCGTAACCAGTGGTTGGAAACTCTTGGTGACATGGTTCAGAATCAATCACAATGGTGTCGGTGTATACACTCTCTGTCTTCCCTTAAACCATGAGATTAAAATCACTTCATATCTTTCTTTCTACCAACTAATTCTTTCTTCCTGTATTATATCCGTTTGCTCAATCTTTCTTTTATATATTACCACTATTGAGTTAACTAATTCTATGAATTCAGTGTTCATGTTGTTGTGCTAACGAGGTATGGCAACTTTGACCGATGCATATATGTGCCTGGTCCTACGTTGTAGCTGACTGACTGACCGATCAACCAATCATAAAAACCTTTAGATTTTGCATATTAATTTGTGTTTCATTGAATAGGTTAAAAAATATCTAATTGAAACTAAACAAAAATTAGCATTACGTGAACGTGCTAGACAAATAAGAGAACGACGTAAATTTGGTAAACAAGTTCAACAGGCTGTTAATCAAACACGTAAAGAAGAAAAACGTAAACTAACGGAAGCTGTAAAGAATACATGGAAAAAAACTGGTAAAAAAACATTGTTTTTAGTGTTATTCTCTTTTTATTAATTTTCTTCTAGTATAAGCCATAGGGACGAGGAATTACAGTGGTTTCTCGTTTCTAAGTACAAGTAATAATGGGGATGCAAATATAACAATTGGCTACCCAATTACAACGGTTCAGACGGAGCCAATTTCTCCAATTATAACAGATATATACTTTATTATTTTATTTATTTATTTTAACACATAGATATTGGCACAAGGAGGCACCAAATACATATGCGCCACACAGATCTCATTCGATATGTGTGAGGGCCGGTGACCATACCACGTTGAAAGCACCGGTTCTCGTTCGATATATACTTTATTCACTGATATTTCTCACTTGATCGATAGCTAATTGATAGCTATTTCGTCTTAATATGAGGCTCCTCGACTGTGCACTCACAACTGGTGGAGTTCAGTTGTCATTAATAACACTGGGTACTTATCGCGCTATATCTGAAAATGTTCATTTGAACGTTGACGTAGTGTTTGTGATTGTCAGGCTTTTGCCATGAGATCCGAAATGCTTAAGTTTAGTTCCTGGTAGATGTTGTATGTATGTATCGCTAAGGAGTCACATACTAAGACCAAACGGCTATTCAGAGCCCCCTGGATTTTAGTATTACCCTAAGTAAGACCAATCTGTGACAATTACAACTTACAAACTAAATCGCTTTTCATATGGTCACTTCAACTACTTAAATTGTCAATTGTTTATGCAAACTTATTTTTTTGACTGTGCTTCTCTGAACTTTATTATCTTTATGACTGATTAACTTAACTGTGTAGATTTCGAGTTCTGTGATTTGGATAGTTTAATTGCGAAGCGATGTTTTGAACAACAATATTATGGCTTACTTCTAATAGATTCGAGCTTATTAAAGTCTGTGCTTTGTTACTTTATTCTTTGTTAAATTCATCGACTGTCTCAAATGAACAGGAATGTTACATATTAGCTAACAGATATTTAGATTATTCAAAACTTCATTATAAAATTTCATAGATCTCCATTGTAAACAGAAAGTTTTTTTAATGACCATGCCGACAGAAAACTCTCCGATTGTAGTACATCTGTATTCATCGAAGCGCTCTTCAAACCCATCGTCAGATGCATCGTAGTAATTGTATTTATTTAGACGGTGGTTGGAGGTAGTCAACAGGAAACCCTGGACCCGGGTTTCGTGCTACTTGGGACTCGTCAGCAAGGTGTACCTGTAATCTTGAGGGAACTGGTGCTCCCTGGCGGATTCGATCTCGTGTCACCCAGCTTCACAGTCAGAGACGTTACCACTGAGCTATCCGAGCCGTGACTAACCTCCTGTAGGACTGAGATGTAATCACAATTGATTGATCACTGGGTGGTGATCAATGTCATGCTTGTCTAGTCCTAGTAGCACGAAACCCGGGTCCAGGGTTTCCTGTTGACTACCTCCAACCACCATCTAATCTCAATACATAGTGCCCGCAGTGTCGAGTCACCTAGACTGGTGGCCACATTGCAACATGATCGATAGCATTCGATCTGCACTAATAAGGACTAGACAAGCATGACATTGATCACCACCCAGTGATCAATCAATTGTGAATTGTATTTATTTGTTATTATTAGTGGTTTTATTCAGTATTATATTTTTGGTACAATATAGGATTCTCAGCAAAAAAGTATTTCAACAAGTTTCCTATTTCTTATTTCTTGATCAATTCTGACCATAATTATTGAGTGATGATTGCCAATTAGATGTTAGCAGTCCAGTCAATCGACATTGAAATAATGTACATTCTTTTCGCTGTATATTACCAACAACCATGATATCTCTGATTGGGTCTTTTGTAACTGGTACAGCGTAGATGGACTGGCCGAGTGGTCCAAGGCGCTGGTCTGAGGCACCAGTCGGAAAGGACGTGGGTTCGAATCCAGCCTTCAAATGCCCTGGTACGGCCGAGAGTGGGGAGAGACAACTCTCCCTCTCAACATGCTCTCACATGGCCACGTCCATACAACCACTACCACAGAAGTCCTACCTACTACTTTCACGCACCAGGGATGTTATTCACGAAATTCAGAGGACGAAAAGAGAACGTTAAGAATTTTAACCGGGTTGGTAGACACGGGTAGTCCATCTAGGAGAGTTGGAAAACGCTGATTCTAAACTAATGGTGTACATGAGCTCCATGATCCTAAGGAAACAAATGGCGTATGAACCTATTGTTGACGACCGGCTACCATGGGACTGCATCTCTTAACGTTACTCCATTGCCTTGTGGATTAGACCTTTAAATCAAAGGCTCCGTTTGTGACCCCCTCAGAAAACCACCTGTTTTGGCTTGGGCACCAGGGCAGTATCCAAGTCTCCCATAAATCGAATGATTTATGTTACGCATATCTATTTGGTACCTTCTTGTACCCAATGTTTATGTGTTTAAATAAATAAACTGGTACAGCGAAATGTAAACTTTTCAGAAACGTACCTGAATAGGTTATACAATTAATTGACATAACGATCTGTTAAAACAAACAAAGAAACAGATAACTTGTTGAAATATCTAAATGGCAGTAACCGACTATATGAACTTATCTTTTAAAAGGTTATCTCTTTTCTTCTCATTTGCATATACATAGGTACCTTTTATGAACCGTTTTATTTTCATTAATATTCTCATTGCTTATTTATAATGATAGGAATTAATCGTGAAGAAAAACTAGAACAAATATTAAATGAATTTAAGAAAGATTATGAACCGAAAAATGATAAATCCAACATGAAAACATCATCATCAAAGAGTTTTCATACAGCAAAAGATTATGCAAATCGACGAAAGTAAACAAGTGTTTTCTTTATCTTAAGATCTTTATCATGTTAGATTATGTTAGCAGAAAGATAATAGTGATTAGTGGAGTTCAACTGGATCGGTTGTGAGATAGTAACTCACTGAGGACGATGATGGATGTGTCACTCAATTTTGTAGATTCGTTGAGGTTTATATATTAACACCGTTGGATGTCGGCCAGCTCAGTGGTCTAATTATTAAGCGCTCGCGCGCGAGACCGATAGGTCCTGGGTTCGAATCTTGCGAGGCGGGATCGTGGATGGGTACTGCTGAGAAGTTACACGATAGGACGAAACGGCCGTCCAGTTGAATCCATGAGTTCATTAAAACTACACCACCATGGAAAACTTGGAAGCACTGCACGACCGTTTCGTCCTATTGTCGGACTCCTCAGCAGTATGCACCCGGCTTCAATTGATTCATGAATTCAACTATTTAATTGTTATCTTTCTGCTGACATAATCTATCAGGATAAATTAGAAAATTAAAGATAACGGTTATTTAAAATGTAAAAATGTTCTCTAAATCTAAACAAAATTTCCATGTTCACCTGTTATCGATTATTACAATGTGCCATTACCATAGACAAATATCACTTACCAGCGCTAGGTACCACAACAGACAATATAAACAATGGTAACGATATATACCAGTCGAATGGTGCTTCATTTACCGGAAGGTTATATATATATATATACATATATCCCGTAAGTGGCCCTATAATAAATAATTATTATGAGTCAATTGAAACTAGACCACCATGGAAAACCTGGAAGCACTGGACGGCCGTTTCGTCCTAGTATGGGACTCTTAAGCAGTGCGCATCCATGGTGGTCTAGCTTCAATTGACTCATGATTTCAACCTGTGAAATTTCTAAAAAAATCTCCACAAAACCAATTCTGAGAATAATTACTAGTTTAGGTTAAATAAAGACACATTCAACTTGACAAGTTCAACAACAACAGTCAACTCTCTGCACAAACGATTATGAACAATGACCTGTTCAGTATGACCAGATAGATAATAGGTATACCAACTGGTGGTAAGAGAGTACATTTTTGTTAACCAGTGAAAAATGGTGGTCTAACATCGATTGGTTCATGATCTTAATCAAAAACTCAACAATCTCCACAACCTCATATTGAAAAATGTACTATAAGAGAGTAGTTGCTCACAAGTAAATGCAGTTATTTGTCTGAATGTTGATGACTATTTCCAAGAGGAGGAGGACCAGAGTCATATTTTCACATTCGTATAAGCAACGAAAGTCTTCGCAAGGTACTCAACATATATTGGCCAGATACCATCATCAACAGCATTCTGGGGGAGGAGAGAACAAAACCAGCTTCCAACTGAACAGGAAATTAGAAGACGTTGGAAGTGGATAGAACATACATTACGGAAATCGCCAAACTGCATCACGAGACAAGTGCCAACTTGGAATCCTAGAGGGAAGCGGAAAAGAGGAAGACCGAAAAACATATTACGTCGGGAAATAGAAGCAGATATGAAAAGAATGGATAACAACTGGAAAAGATCGTCCATGACAGGGTTGGATGGAGAATGTCGGTGAACCGCCTATACTCCTCCACGAGGAGTAACAGGCGTGATGACGATATTCAGAAAAAAAACCACTGTTCCTGTCTTTTAGATTATTTTCTATTTATACATTTTGTTTTGGTTTTTTATTTTAGAATTAATCAAAAACGTGTTTATAAAAATAATAAATATGGTCATGGTGGACAAAAAAAGCGTCAAAAACGTAATACATCTGAATCAGTTAATATTGGAGCACGACATGATTTCAGTCAATTAAAACATCAAGCTACACCAAATAAAGCTAAACAAATTCGTTTAAATTATCGTAAATTAAAACAAAAACATAAAAAAATGACAAAAAAACGTGGTTAAAATAATATGAACTTGTATATTTCACATTTATAACAAAAATTCTATGAATGAAATGTGTATTCAACTTATTCTTTTATCTTTTGAACTATTGAAAATATGAAGTTCAATGAAGGGATCTCTTTTGAATGAATTCATTATCAAACTGTTAAAGTACTATAAACAAAGATGAATAGTGGCTAGCAGTGAAATCCAGTTTGACGCGCGTTTCGTCCTATTTGGGACTCGTCAGCTGGATGTACCTGCATCTGAGAGAGTTGATGTTCACTCTGGGACTCGTATCCAGTACCGTTCGCTTCAAACGCCATTGCGTTATCCACTTAACGGTACTAAGTTCGAGTCCCAGAGTGAACATCAACTCTGAAATGCAGGTACATCCAGCTGACGAGTCCCAAACAGGACGAAACGCGCGTCAAACTGGATTCCACTGCTAGCCACTATCCATCTTTGCTTATAATGCTTGTAAATTAAGGCAATATCGAGGCATACGCACAGTATGCACATATGCCAATAAGAGACTGATCAATTTCAGTCCAAAAACATCAATGGGAAGATTCAAGTAAAACAATATCAAGTGTTAAAGTACTAGTTCCAATAAGGACATATGAACAAGACATAATCATGATGATGTAATAGGAAAAATTACAATACTACATTACGTAATAAGAATAATGATAATAAGTCAGTAATGAATTATAATATATAATCTTTAATTATTGTAACGAGAACATTTAAGGTTCTGGTTTCTAATCCCCCGAATGGGATCGTGGATGCGCACTGTTGAGGAGTCCCACAATAGGACGAAATGGCCGTCCAGTACTTCCAAGTTTTTCATGGTGGTCTAGCTTCAATTGACTCATGATCTCAACTATTGAAAGATATTTTAATCATTTTACTGTATTCATATTATAATTCTTTACTGACTTATTAAGTTTATTATCATTATTCTTATTGCGTAATCTAGTGTTGTGATCTTTCTATTACATCATCATGATTATTCTTTGTCTATATGTTCTTATTGAAACTAGTACTTTAACAGTTTAATAAAGGTAATAGAGGTGTGAACAATAAATGAAGTGATATCATGAACAATAACGAATAAAATCATACGAATATGAGATAAATCAAACAATAGAATGTACTGTCAAACTATTCGTTCTAATCTTGACGAATTTTCGTATAAATAGGATGTACTTCTTTTGTACGCAGAATATTTGAGCGAACAATTGTTTCTTCAATAACTTCATCATCAGGCTCTACAGTTATAAGTCCATAATTATAATATTTTACAAAGGCCAAGAATAAGGCATGTATTAATGAATTTGACAATGTTATGCGTTAAAAATGGTGAACGTTTCACAATTGATTGATCACTGGGTGGTGATCAATGTCATGCTTGTCTAGTCCTAGTAGCACGAAACCCGGGTCCAGGGTTTCCTGTTGACTACCTCCAACCACCATCTAATCTCAATACATAGTGCCCGCAGTGTCGAGTCACCTAGACTGGTGGCCACATTGCAACATGATCGATAGCATTCGATCTGCACTAATAAGGACTAGACAAGCATGACATTGATCACCACCCAGTGATCAATCAATTGTGATTACATCTCAGTCCTACAGGAGGTTAGTCACGGCTCGGATAGCTCAGTGGTAACGTCTCTGACTGTGAAGCTGGGTGACACGAGATCGAATCCGCCAGGGAGCACCAGTTCCCTGAAGATTACAGGTACACCTTGCTGACGAGTGCCAAGTAGCACGAAACCCGGGTCCAGGGTTTCCTGTTGACTACCTCCAACCACCATCTAATGGTGAACGTTTGCCTCTGTTAAGATATATAGATATATATACTTCAAAAAGAAAAAAATTGTCATATTTGCAAATTAGAAAGGTCATTCAATAAAGGTCAGTAAATTGTTCAGTCACAATAAGACAATATAATAGTACTATTGCAAAATTGAAAATCATTTTGTCAACTGAGATAATAATAATAATAATAATAATAATAATAATAATGTGTGAATATAATATGTAATAAGGGGGGTGTTATCAAGGTAATTACGGTCAACAAATTGGGAATGATGGATATGAAGATTAAGATATAGATAATGACAAATAATGATAATAAGGAAAAGAAGTCGTAATCTAGCTCCTTGAGGTAGATATTTTGGAACTTGATATAAAACAGAGAAAGCTTCCTCTATTTTAATATGATGTTCACTATCTACCAAGTGAGAAAGAATGGTGCTGTTAATCGATTTGGTGACTCCTTCTCCCAATCATGCTGGTACATGTTCACGAACATGCAAGGATAAAGCCCTCTGAGTACGGCCTATGTAACTAGCTCCACAGGAGCAGTTGAATTGGTATACACACATGGAGGAGCCCATCTCCGGTAACCTATCCTTGATTAGTTGTGAGTACTGGTTTAGTCGAGAAAGTTATGTGTAACTTGGCGGCATGAAATGTCCTCTCGACAGATCTTTTGAGTCGACGTGTTAGAATATCACCCGCTATGTCGCCTTTAAAGTCAAGTTTCAGATATAAGGTCTTTTTACTGACCGTGTCGCAATGTCTTCTCTTTTTAATACTTTGTACGAGGTATTTTTTGACGAAATTATCCGGATAGCCATTATTACGTAATGTGTTCTTTAGTATAACTATTTCTTCCTCCACACTGTCTTCAGAACATAATACCTTGATTCTGTGGTTGAGACACTTAACCAAATTTATTTTATATTGCAAAGGTGTGAAGTTTTGGAAATGGGTATACTGACCCGTCCATGTACACTTTCTAAACATATTTCGCTTTATGGAACCATCTATTCTTCTAGAGAGTCGGACATCTAGAAAAGCTATGCTATTGTCCTTTTCCTCCTCGCTGGTGAATTTAATGGCTGGGTGGACATTATTGAAAGCGTCTAACATCTCCTGTTTGTCGATATTTTCGTCACATATGATTAATGTGTCATCTATGTATCGACAGTAGTAATCAAGCTTATTTAGGATGTCTTTAAGCGGTCCATTTTCTAGTTTGGTTAGAAAAATATTAGCAAGAATCGGGCCTAGAGGTGATCCCATTGCTACCCCATCTACTTGTCGGAAAAATTCATTGTTAAACTTAAAGTAGATATCCATAGTGCATTTCAAGAGAAGTTCTCTCATTTTGTTTATTGGGATAGGAATCTCTATTTTCTTTTCTATCAGTTGTTCACATATGTAATCTATAGTTTCAGTCAGAGGGATGTTAGTGAACAAAGATGTTTTGTCTAGTGATAGCATGGTTTTTCCATTTATATTTATATTTTTAATTGTATCAACAAATTCAAAGACGTCTTTAACATTATGCTTAGCAAGTTCTTGGTACAGGAGTGCGCCAAACATATATGCGCCACACAATTTCAGTTCATTAATTGCGTGTGGGCTGCGTTACTGCCCGGGTGCCCAGACCGAAGCAGGTGGTTATCTTAGGGGGCCACACCCCGAGCCTTTGACCTAAAGGTCTAACCCACAAGGCAGTGGAGCATCGTAAGGAGATGCAGTCCCATGGTAGCCGGTGACCGAAAATTGGTTCATACGCCATTTGTTCCCGCAGGATACTGGTGCCCATGTGCACCATTGGTTTGGGATCCGGTTAAAGCGCCGGACATTCGCTTTTCGTCCTCTCATTTTCGTAAACAACAGTAATGCCACGAGAAGGCAGTGAGTAGGACTTCCGTGGCAGAGGCTGTATACGCGCGGCCGTGAGAGTATTTCGAGAGGAAGGGCGAACCCACCCCGCTCTCGGCCATACCAGGGCGTTTGGGGACGCCAAACTTCGAGACCAACAGGCAGGATTCCGTAAGGATAGATCGTTTACAGACCAAATCGCA